GCTCTGGTAGCATAGTGCCTAAGGCATTTGACTGCTAACCAGAAGGCTGGCGGTTCAAACCCACCAGCCACTCCTTGGAAGGAAGGTTGGGCAACTCGGAAACCCAAGGAGGGGTCATTATGAGGCAGTGGCACATAAAAATAACAACACCAAACTTTGCCTACATATTTTCAGAAACTTACTTTCAATAATAACAAAACTTCTGGAAAGATCACTTTTGAGCTTAAATTGTTAGAAGTTGAGCAGATTTCCAGGCACATGAATCATTTGGAAGAACCTCCTGCTTATCTTTTGTTGTCCTTTGCCCAGGTGGATCTGAATCTTTGAGGGGAGGGAACCCCAACATGTAGGTTTTCAGGAAGGGGATAGTTGATTTCACCAGCACGTGTCAAAATTGAGAAGTAGGTATATTTTTAACTGCTTATAATTTACTGATATTCAATAAGTTAATCCCCTTCTGAATTCCACAGTGCCCCACTCTTCTCTTTAACAAGTGTCATCCTTGCATTATGATACACCTGACCTACATCTCATTTTTAAGGCTAGCTCACTTATCTTAACTAATTCCAGGATATTAAGAATCTATAATGCCTCACTGTGCTCATTACTCTCTCAGGTAATATCTTTGAGTACATTTTCCATTTAAAAGGAGATTCCAATGGTGGAATGCCTTTCCTGTGACCACAGGTTACAAGCTGCTATCACCTCCTGCTTGAAAAATGACAATGGCTATTCTCTCTTTGGGGTTCCGTCCAATCCATTCTCTTCCCTGCAGCTGGAATAATTTTTCTTAAATAGCAAATTGACTATTTTACTCTTTTTAAAATTCCAGCAATGGTTCCAATTGCTTTGAGATAATGTACAATTCTTTCCACTGCCCTGCCTGACTCCCAGCCTCACCTCTAACTACTTCCCATCACAATCTCTATACACAGTTCAGTCCTTGGATGAGTTACATTTTCTCTTATCCCTGGGATTTTGCTCATGTTGTTCCCTCTGCCTGGAGCAAATCCCATCTCCCTCCCTTCACTGTCTGGGTTACTCTTCCTCATTCTTTGGTATTATGTATCATTTTTTCAAGGAAGCGTTCAGGACCCTTCCCGTTTGTCTCACTCAACTATGAGTTCAAAGAACCTCTGTTCTTCCCATGAAGAAGTGGATTACTCCTCTCTAATTCCCATTGCACCATAATTCCCAGAAGACAAAGAGCTTTTCTGCCTTTAATTCCAAGCTCAGAGCCTGGTACATAGTAGGTACTCAGTAAATATTTCCCAGTAAACATAGAGGTCCCCAAACACATCCATTGGTAAGAAATACCACCCAAGCAGAAAGAGAGACAATAGGAATTTTTAATGCATGGGAAGTCCTGTAGGGACTCTGAGTCAGACCCACAGGTAGCAGGAAGAGGCAGGGGTCCTGCAAATTCAGTACCCTCAAAAAAAAAAAAAAAAAAAGTCCTAAAGACCCAAGCTTCCTCACTGCAACAATCCTTGGGGCTTCCTTCCTGATGCTGAAGAGGTCAAACTGTCTCCTCAAAGTGTCCTCCAGGGCTCTATGGCTGGTAGAAGGCTGACTTAAGCAGGAGGGAGAAAGAAGAGGAAAGGCCATTTGGTCTCCACCTGAAAGCTCCTGCCTCCGGATTGACCACCATCCACAAGAAAAGGTTAAAAAGGAGAGACTTTGATAGAGCCAAATAATATCTTAGGAAAAAATAAAAGAGAGAAAAATGAATAATTCCAGTGGTTACAAAGTTCTCTGTCCACTATCCACAGGGGGAAAAAAAAAAAAAAAGGGTTTGCTTTGGCCTTGCTGGCGATCGTCATTGGCCAGGCCCATCCTCAGCTGTCCCCCAGCCCATCCGGCCCCAGGATCCACATATGTCCTGCTCCCCTTCCCGTGGAGAGTCTCTGTGCTCACAGAGGGCAGCACCCTCCCTCACCGGCCCTTGGACTCCCCGTACGTGTTTCGGGCCATGGACACCATCTTCTCCTCGCATGTGATTTTGGTGTCCTTGAGGATGCTGTACCAGACCATGCCTGCAGGCCGGACCTCTTCACTGCGGCAGAAAAGATAGGGCACAGTGTCCACGCGGCTCTGGATGTAGGCGCTTCGCAGGAGGCTGGAGCAGTGACTGCTCACCCTTTCCAGCCGCCGCAGGATCAGGTGGGCCTTCCTGGAAGGTAGAAGAAAATGATTAAGGAAGCCCAGAATCAGGAGTCCGGTCTTTGAGGTGGTGAGTAAAGATCAATAGATAGATGAGGACTCCTTGTCTCCAACAGTTCTCCACCCATTCCTGACCTTAATGTGTCATTTCAACCTCCTGTTCAGAAATTACGCTCTAAATTGTCCCTTCAATTTTTCAATGTGTAAAAAGTGAAAGAGACGAATAATTTTAGACCTAACATTTTCACTTCTAAAATGTAGAAGACCTAGGAGTTAAAAGACATTAGCCTTGGGACCTTGATGAAACAGGAATTGTAATAATTGTACAAACAAATGCAATGCAATATGTTAAAATTCATTAACACTTACCCTGTGCTAAATACTGGGTAAATACTTTAAATACATTTTAGAATTTTTATTTAATTTTCACAACACTCCTAAAGTTATTGCTGTTTCTTACTCCTATTTCATAGGTGAGGAATCCAGGCCTCAGAGAAATGACATTACCAAGATCAAACATCAAAAGGTGCTGGCAGTGAACATTTTACTGTAGGCCTGGACACCATGAAACTCACTCTGAATGATTGTTTTCTCATTTCTCTGACACTCTCCTAGTCTTCTCTCCCAGTCAGAAAATTTAGAAATCTTGCCCTTCATATTTCTATTTAGTCAAAGCCTAAATATACCTGTCCTTAAATCATAACTTCTCTTTGTCTTATTATTTATTATTTTTTAATGTCATAAATGGTGATGATGGTCTTTCCCTTATAAGATGGAAGTGAGTGGGATTAAAGAGGAGGGGGTGTCCAAAGCTGGTACAGGCTCCATAAATGATAGCTACTGTTATGGATCTGTATCCACCCAAAATATGTGTTGGAAAATTAACCCCTTTACCTGTGGGTGTAATTTCATTTGGGAATAGAGTTGTCTGTTATGCTAATGCGATCATATTAGTGTAGGGTGTGTTTTAACCCTAATCACTTTTGAAATATGAAAAGAGAAGATTATGCACAGAAACAAGGCAAGCCCTAATGGGGGAAAGACGGATGCCACATGGAGATCGCCAAGGAACTGAGGAATGTGGGGCTAAAAAAGCTGACGCAAGAAACTTTCCCCTGAGCAGACAGACAGAGAGTCCTGCCCTAGAGCTGGTGCCTTGAATTCAGATTTCTAGCCTCCTAAACTCTGAGAAAACATGTTCCTGTTCATGAAAGCCACCAACTTGTGGTATTTTTGTTACAGCGATATTAGCTAACTAGGACAGCTGCTATTCTAAAGAATTATCATGTTGATGTTTTAGGATTAAGGTCATAATGAATACAGCTTTTAGAATGCATATTCTAGTCTATGGTGGTCACCACTAGAAATTTATCTTGAGCCATTTATCCAGCACTGTAGAGAATCAGTGACAGAGCCCATGGTTGCAGACAAAGTGGAAGTTAGCAAGGACTGTTGAGATTCTCTATCCCAGGATTTCTCAAAAGCAGTGCTACTGACATTTTGGCCTGAACAACTCTTTATTGTGGGGTCTGTCCTATAGGATGTTTAGGAACATCCTTGGCATCTACTTATTAGATACCAATAGAATCCTCCCTACTATGACAATAAAAGTGTCTTTAGACATTCCCAAATGCCCCCTTTGGGAGAAAAATCACTCCCAGTTAAGAACCCTTGATCTAGTCTGTCCTACTGTCTTTAAAGATGTGGAAACTGAGGCTTAGAGAGGGAAAGGAATGTCCTTTTTCCAGGTCACACCACAAATCAGCTTCACTGTCAAGGGGTCTGCCTCCATGTGGAACCCACTCTTCTGTACATCCAAGTCTTCAAGATGCTCAGGAATCATGAAAGACTAAACAAAGACCTCTCTCCTGCTGTCCTCTCCATGCCCCTGTGAGACCCTGGGAGGGAAAGTGTTTTATGACAACAGACCCCACAAATGGGAGACTGTGTTGGGCACCTGTGTGGCGGCTGGTAAAGGAACGGGGTTATGTGTGTATGTTTTGTGGGAACGATTTATGAGGTGCCTTTCAAAAAGTCCTCTTTGTATAGTTCAACACTTGGGTGGAATATTTCTCAAGGTGCCAAGAATTCATAGCTTCATAATCACACTTGAGTTGCTGCTCTACCCATACTCCTCTCTCCTCTCTGGCAAATGCCACCCCAAGAGGAACCTGAGGCGTTTCTTTCTCACCCCTCCTTGTTGGTGTTTTTTCTCTGTTTTTTAACAGCTCCATGTCCTCGGGAAATTAACATCTTGAAACCAGTTCGCTCATTTGAAATGTAGGACTGGTGTGGGATTAAAGGAGATAAAGTCACCCATTGCTCATTTATTGACAATTTCTTATATGGCAGAGCACCTGGTTTGATGGAATAACAGACAAATGGAAAATTCCAACACAGGTGGCAAGAGCAATGATAAAGGAGGCACAAAAGATGTGGGTAAAGAGGAAAGTGCACAGGTAGAATTGGAGATATCCAAGAAGGCTTCCTAGTGGAAGTGGAATTGCTGTAGAGTTTCAAAAACAAATAGGAGCTCAGTAACAAGGAGGGAAAAGGTATAATAGGTAGTATAGATAAAGGAATGAAGATAAGAGAGTGTATAGGAATTTTGAGAATTTATAGCTGGAAGATAGCCTGCAAGTGGGAAACAATGCAATGGAATTAGAGAAATGAGTGGAAGCCAGGCCATTGGAGTTTTGAATCCAGGGTACAGTTGGTATAGAGTAATGGTATGATTGAAAATATCATGGCTTGGGTTAGGTGCACCTTAGTCTTTAAGGAGAGATCTTTGCTTTTCAGCACTTTAAAGAGATCTTTTGCAACAGATTTGTCCAGTGTAATATGTCATCTTATGTCTTGACTACTGCTTCCATTGGTGTTGATTGTGGAACCAAGTAATATGAAACCTTTAACAAGTTCCATCTTTTCTCCATTTATTATGATGCTGCTTACATGTCCAGTTGTGAGAATTTTCATTTCATGTTAAGATGTAATCCATACTGCAGACTGAAGTCTTTAATCTTCATCATTAAGTGCTTCAAGTCATCCTCACTTTCAGCAAGCAAAGTTGTGTCATCTGTGTATTGCAAGTTGTTAATGAGTCTTCCTTCAATCCTGATGTCACATTCTTCTTCATATAGTCCAGTTTCTCAGATTATTTGTTCAGCATACATATTGAATAAGTATGATGAAGGGATACAACCCTGATGCACTCCCTTCATATGCATGTGAGAGGTTTTTGTTGTTGTTGTTGTTATGTTCCATTGAGTCGGACCCGACTCATAGTGACCCCTCCTTGGGTTTCCGAGATGGTATCACTACGGAAGTAGATTGCCCCATCTTCCTTCCGAGGAGTGGCTGGTGGATAATGAAAAAAGATCGAAGAAGAGTTGACACTTTTGAGTTGTGGTGTTAGCAAAGAATATTGAAAGTACCACGGACTTCCAAGAGAATGAACAAATTGGTCTTGGAAGATGTGCAGCTGGAATGCTCCTTGGAAGCAAGAATACCCAGACTTTGTCTCACCTACTTTGGTCATGTTATCAGAAAGGATCATTCCTTGGAGAAGGATACCATGCTTGGTAAAGTGGAGGGTTAGTGAAGATGGGGAGGGCCATCAATGAGATGGTTTGACACAGTGGCTGCAATGATGGACTCAGGTATAGCATGGATTGTGAGGCTGGCACAGGACCAGTGTTTTGTTCTGTTGTACATATGGTTGTTATGAGTCAGAACAGACTCAATGGCACCTAACAACAATGTTGGTATAGAGTAATGTTGTAGCATACTGACTCTAGAATCTGAGTGGCAGGTTAAAATCCCAGCTTAATCACTTACTAGAAGTGTGATCTTGAGCAATTGCTTTTCCAGTTGTGCCTCAGTTTCTTAACCCATGGAATAGGAATAGTAGCCGCACCTACCATAAAGGGTTGTTTTAAGATTTAAATAAGCAACAATGAAGATATAATAAGTCCTCAACAAATGTTACATATGTTTATTATCTTGAGGAAAGACAGAGGTATTATTGAAGGATTTCAAGCAGGAAATTGACTTGTGGAGTGAACTGTTAAGAGATAGTTCTAGTTGCCTTAAGGAAAATTGGATGGAGGAGGGAAGTAGGAATGCAAGTAAGAAACCAGGTAGAGAGTTAATGGTGCCAACCATTTCCCATCATTGTCTTTAGGAGTTTTGGTTATATTTTGTCATTGTTGTTGTTGTTGTTATGTGCCATTGAGTCGGACCCGATTCATAGCGACCCCTCCTTGGGTTTCCGAGGCAGTATCACTATGGAAGTAGATTGCCCCATCTTCCTTCCGAGGAGTGACTGGTGGGTTTGAACCAGCAGCCTTCTGGTTAGCAGTCAAGTGCCTTAGGAAAATTACATAATCTTTTGGAACTAGTTTCCTTATCTTTAAAAATGGCCACTTCATTTAGTATACTCCTAACTCATATAGGGTTATGCCAAACCAAACTCCCAGCCATCAAGCTGATTCTGACTCATAGCGACCCCTACTGGGTTTCCAAGGCTGTAAATCTTTATGGAGGTAGACTGCATCATCTTTCTTACATAGAGTGACTAGTGGATTTGAACCCTTTTGGTTAGCAGCCAAACATCTTAACCACTACACCACCACAGCTCCTTCACATATGGTTATGTTGTTGTTGTTGTTAGATGCCATTGAATTGACTCTGACTCATAGTGACCCTATGTACAACAGAATGAAACACTGCCCAGTCCTGTGCCAGCCTCATAATCCTTGCTATACTGGGGCCCATCATTGCAGCCACTGTGTCAATCCATCTCTTTGAATACTGTCATAGTGGGAACTAAATAAGTCAGTACATGTAAAACTGTTAGAAGAGTACTTAACACATAGTGAGCACTTGAAATATTAGAAAATATCATTACTATCAGCACCACCACCACTACCATCATCATTGTCAGGTATCCTTTGTGTACCAGACTCTAGGGTGTAAGTCTGAACTGGCTCATAAGCTGAACTGTTATAC